ACATGAGCACTATTGCTTCTTTCGGATCAGCATCATATTGTCAGAAGATTCACGACATGGCCAATTATTAAAGGCATAAAACGGCTTGTTAAAGAATCCCGCAAGCGAAAAACAAAATTCTTAGAATTTCCTCTTTCCTACAGGGCTTCAGATTTACTCTTTTACAAAAATGTCAGGTAGAGACAGATTTTTCTCGATGTCAATGTAAGTTCCGTTACATTCGTCTCTTATTGGTAAGAAGTATATATATATATATGCATTGTTAAGCTGCCGGGATGCCAGCGGTTAATTAGTTAATCCAGTTCATTAGTCAGGCTCGGGTCGGGTCGGGTTTAATACCCACGGGCCCGGGTTGGGTCGGGCTGGAGTTTTTGGGCCCGATCTTACCTCTACGTACGATTCGTAACACGCAAAACATGCCCGAGAACACACGTTTTGTTTTTGGTTGACAGTAACGGGCGAGGGCGGTCTCTGAAGAGGAGGATTGGTAGCGTTGTAAATGCTGTTCAACGAATACAAAAGTAAATTGTTGCAATAATTCAAAGCTGCTTGCCACTGGTGGTGCGCGTACCTCAGGTTGAAAACAACTGCTCTAAGACATAGATTGATTGATGATTTGTTGGGACGAATTTTCAGAAGAAGCCATACGTGCCTCGTCCAACCAAGTTCCGATCAGATCGCGAGGCGTGTAGTGAAGGCAAAGGGAGGATATAAACTTGACTGTAAATTCTCTGGTCTTCATTTTTGCTTCAAACAACGTAACATGCTCAACAGCGTAGAAGGGCAAGAAATCCGAGCTATGCGCCAGACAAGTATTGTTACGAAACAATACAATGAAATTAACTAAAAAAAAATTATCTTATACGTTGCGCTAAAAGTTTCCAATACCGAAATCAAATGCAGACCAGAACATGAGAATGACCCCCCCCCCCCCCTCCCTCTCAATTGCCCCATATGACAGGCAGTGCCCCCAATTTGCAGCCAGTGTTCCTACAAATATCGTAACATGTTTAAGGCGATGTTTTGTTTAAGTCTTAGAGAAATCTAAGCCAAAATACATTTCCTAACTAACACTTCTTCTTATAGCATTGAAGTATTTAATTTGGCGACTGAAGACAGCAGGAACGCACACGCAGTCGCTGCACTACGTAGGCGGGTCGGTTTAATACAATCCAGGCAATTTGAAGGAATAATAATGATTCATAGTGTGTAGGTTTATAACAATAAACGAGTTGCGACAATTTTGTGATTTGAGACAACAATAGTTATGATAACTTGGCTGTAGAAAAGTCTCGATGTTCTTAGTAAAAGCGGGAAAGTATTAATAAAATGTGCGGTGCGTTGGCGAGTGTATTCCTAACTTTCGCCACGATGCGCCACACCGCTGAAGCTATCCTATCTATCCATGTAACCTGGCGACTGAGGTTAGCAGCTTTAAGCACTGCACTGTGTAGGTGGGTCGGTTTCCTGAAACGCGATGAAAGCAGATATTAATGATTCATTGTGTGTTTAAAACAATGAAAGAGTCGCCACATTTTTGTGATTTAGGATGACTATATTTATGGTAATTAGCCTAAAGCGAGGTTTTGATTATGCTAGAAGAGCGAGAAAGTATTGAATTAATGTTAAATGCTGTGGCAAAAATAACAGATGATAGCGATTGACAAGACTCTCGTAACCATTCTTCAAGTATTGGTTTCAAATAATAGACTTCAAATCTTGCAAATTTCTTCAAAGCACTAATAACGAATAAGCAAAGAAAAGGTAAAATAAAAGTTTCAGGTATGGTGACAGTTATATTTAGAATGCTTCCGCCAAGACTTTTTGAAAGTCGTTTATACGTTGAGAACTATAGGGACGAGATTTGATACAGCTTACTCAATTTTTTACATTATGGATAACGTGGTGGTCATGACGTTTCAATCAGTTCTTTTTTTCTGCAACTCCAAAATGAGTGTGACGAATGCTTAGCAGAACAACGAACTACTAACAAATCCACCTAATATTGACAGATTGTGAGCTCATTACATTAAATTTTGTTCGTTTACAATGTTATCCAATATCTATACTATATATGATAACAAATGCATACTCCCGTTATATGTGTACTAGGTTAGAGTTAGGCTCTAATTTTATTTCGATTTTCCTTATTTTAGTTCTATTACGAGTTCGGGAACTGTCTGTGTTAGCCAAGTGGATATACGCCTTGACTATAGATTTCAGTCCCTTTACACAACTTGATGTAAAGTAGGCGAACAAAATTAGTTACCTCCATACTGGTACACACACTTCTGGAGCGCCAACAAATGAATCCATTATTTACAAAGTCAAACGCAGTCACTATAGAAATGTTACCTTTCACCTTCTTGCTCAGATAGTAACATCATTTCCTGATATCAATAAGCCACTTATGATAAATAACTCCTGGTATAGAAAGTCGTTATGGAAAGAACAATACCCAATGATATTGTGAATCGACTAACTACGTGTGCTTTCAGGATGCAGCTTATTAATTTAATTAGTAAACGTTTGCGATTATCTCAGTTCATGCAAAGACAATTACTGGCGTTTGATGTAACTCTTGGCCATACTGGACCGATTTCCTTGTTACAAGAGTATCACGCTGGAATCTGAGTTCTCTCGTATCGAATGTTATATTTTGAATTTGCTATTTTCGAAAGAAATAGAGATTGTTTTGTGTTTGAGCCGTTGATAGTCACTGGAAGCTACCGTCAATATTTATCAGAAGAGAGAGGTTGGCAGATATATTAGAATATTTCAATCATAAAATATATCTTTCCTAGCGTCCGCGATTTGCTTCGCAAAATTGATAAGCTAGAATCATTTGAAATATTTTTATTTTCTGATTCAAAACCGAGCTATACTAACTTTACCTACTAAACTTAATTCCGGATTATCAATACTCATTATTAGTAAGGTAATGGGCGCAGAGAGTTCGACTCGAAATTTTGAAGCAGGGGTTCCCAAACTGTGGGTCGCGACCCAGGATGGGGTCGCGTGAAGATTTTCCGGGGTCGACTAATTTCTGTCACTTGTTATCGGATCTTCTGATATTTCCTCGTTTTTCTGTCGCATTGCCAGACTCGTTCATATATTGACCAATGTTCAACGTCAACGTTCATTTGCAGTCGATATACAGGTACATTGTTCCCATTGAGGTAATTAAACTGAAATACTGATATTTGAAGTTGCTGGATGTTTCTTGCTGTGGGGTCGCGAGTATCTATAGGCTTTGATTTTATAAAAAATGGTGTCGCGAAAAAAAGTTTTGGGAGCGCTGTTTTGAAGTATTAGAAACAATCATTGCTCAGAGTTCTAAATTGTAGGCCGCCGCGGTCATTACAACAAATTACCCAGATCAGTGGTTCTCGAACGGTGGGACGCGCACCATATGACATGGGGGAGGAGGTATAGACAATTTTTGAGGGGGGGGGGTGAAACTGATGAAAAATAATATTTGTTAGATTTAATCTTCCCCTCTTTATTTTGAATATTTACATTTCCTTATTGTTTAAATATTGCAGAGAGCTATTGTGCTTGATGTTGATTTCATTATATGCTATATTTCTTTCGCCTTATTTTCTTTATTTGCAGCTTATTGTTAGCTAGTTAATTGTGATCCGAGGCGCAGGACTTGACAAATTCTTAAAAGGTGGCGCGGCTAAAAAAAAGTTTGAGAACCGCTGACCTAGATCATTGTTTTATACAGTGCCTCTGTAAATGCTTTACCGATCCATAGCAAAAATTCTGGGTCGGAGTTTTTTGCCCTCCACCGTGCTTTAGACAGTATTAATCTGAATAAAGAAGATACCGGTATTTCTGAATCTTAGTAGAAAGTTGTCGGTAATTAGTAGAAAATATGCAAACCAAGATGGCGGACACCGGAACGTATATGTACCATATTAGGGTTAGGCTATAACTTGATTTCAATTTTCCTTATTTTAGTTCTATTACGAGTTCGGTGACTAGCCAAGTGACTCCGTAGTATTTTTTATACCAGGAATTATGGCCTAACCCAAACCTGGTACACATACGACGTTCCGGTGTCCGCCATCTTGGTTAACATACTTTGGAGCAGCGGTTCCCAGACTATGGGTCGCGACCCAATGGTGAGTCGCAAAAGGAATCTTAGTGGGTCGTGAAAATATGTAGAAAGCTTTGATTACTTATACTGGTTATTAGGATCGGTTGCGACTACGTAAATCCTCAAAAAAAAATTAAATTGGATTTAAATTCCAATTTGTGAAACTTTCCTTTTAACGATCTTCTCAAACGAACAAAAATTTGCTACACAAAGAATGACCATGTGGCTTTTTCACGCATAGCAGTTTAGTACACTGTACAGCCTTTCTTACCGTGTTTCCCTGAAATTTAGGCAGGATTTATGTTTCTTTTCTTTTCAAGAATAACACTATGGTTTTTTTTTGGAAGAGGTTTTTTGTGTTCATACATTAAAAATAAAATTACATTGTAGAAAAGCACGAGATTTTTTATTAAACATTATATAAAAACCGACATTCATTGTTTTTATTTGTATTTCCTATAAAAAATCAAGCAACAAATATCATATTTGTGATATCACACAATCTTGAATAGTGGTGTGATCTCCACCTTACCTCAGGTTATTGAACCTTTCATCTCCCACACTTTTTAAATTTATTTTAAGGGTAGGGTTTAATTAGAATCATTTTTAAAATTTAAATTAGGTCTTATTTTCGGGCAGCTCATTTTTTCGAGGAAACACGGTATTTTTGCGATGATTAGCCATTGCTGTGTTAAGTCATAAAAATTAAATAGGTCGCCATAAGCTGTGGTAATAAATAGTGGGTCCCAACTCTAAAAAGTTTGGGAATCACTGCTTTGGAGTATCGAAAGTTGTATAGAACCTCGTTTAGCGAAAGGCCTAAAAAGTGATCACGGAATGCCATGTCAATTAATGGGTTGTTTCTATTTTATTGCATCTTTAGTGGATAAACACATATCGATACCATTATTTAACAAAATATGAGAGTCATACTTTTTGCGCTCACTTCATTATTAATGTTTTTTGGAGCAGAAGCTACGGGATCATGTGAAGGTAATACTTATGTATCTTTATATGCTTTAGCTTCTGAATTATTTGAAATTGTCCTGTGATGTATACTCGAATGCGGCACTGCTCCAAAAATATAATTCTTAGTGCAGCATCAATGATCTTTGATTGCCATGGTTACCGCGACCTGTCGTGGATGAAGGGGTTTTCTTCCGTTAACTATAGTGACACCGGGATATCGGATCGCTTGAATGTGTCTCAAAGTCCTGTTTTTGTTTTGGTATTTCATGTGACTGACTGATTGATTTTCAACTCGGCAAACAAGGTATCGCCGATACGATGATTTAAGTAGTCCTTCGCGGGCCGTGGTCAATTGCGTAAATATTGTATATCTGTTTATTTCAGTTGATCTTTTAATATTATATTTGTTTGTCGTTACAATATTTAATAAACGACGAAATAAATTATCTTAATCTGAATCTACTATACCAACTTGCAGTTTTAAAGCGGCGCCCAAAAAAAAATGTAAAGGATAGTTTTCTTTAAATACATCTCCCTAATCGGTACACCCGAATTATTCGTACCAAGATGGCGGACAACGGAACGAATAAAATTATGGCCCAAACCTAGCCGGTACACATACTACGTCCCGGTGTCCGCCAACTTGGTTCACATATTTTGGGATTATCCTATTCCGGGGTTATTAGAACATCGGAAAAATCTTGATGTTTACATGCCACTCTCAATTTCATCCGAAGTTCTAGAATCCGAAACCCTTGTAGATGTCTTAAACGATTTAAATTCTACTATCAATCGAGAAAATTGAACTCAAAGTCCGTCTCCCAACCCGATCTATCAAATTTTTGGAAAGAACTTTGGAGTGTTAACAAATCACCAATCATAAATATCGCTTCCGATACCTCTATAGATGTCTGTAAACAATTTCAATCCTGAATGTTTCGAAATGACTACTTCGGCCTCCGGAAAGTAAAAATACAACTTTATTTCGACTAAACATTTTTGCTAACTTTGAAATGTTTCGAGTATTTTGCAGGTCTGAATTCCACAAAACATAGCATACGCAGTTGTCAATGTCAATGTTTTTTTCAATTGCATATTTATCGATTGATATATAAATAAAAGAAATGGGATTATCCCCTAATCTTAAGGGTGGTGATTAGCAAAATCAAAATGCATATTCGGAATTTGGGGCATTTATAGTATATTTTTATAACTGCTTTCAATAGCAGTAAATGATATAAGCTGAAATGGAATTTTAATATTTTTAAGTTGATATGTGTAACGACATAAATTGCCAATTAATATATATGTTAAAAGGTTCCATTACATTTGAACCCACGTACATTTGAACCCATGACAATTGCACCTGTATGCTATTGCACCTATGGAATTTTTTTTGTTTCACGGATAGTTAAACCCATACTAACCCATGGGTTTTAGCACCCGCATATAGATTGAACCCGTGGATGTACGCATGGGTTCAAATGTACATGGGTTCAAATGTACGGTCACCATGTTAAAAATATATATATAAAATAAAACCAATACCTTAGAAAATAGTTAAGTAAGGGGTAGGTGTTGGAATTAGAATTAAAACCTCTTTAGAATTTAGAACAATTATAACAGAAGGGAAATAACTGTGACAGATTTAAATGACAATACACAAAGAAAGAGCCGATAATATATAAACACGCAATTTTTGATGACGTCATCGCACATGACGGAAAATTAAAAATTTGCTTTTTTAAGATGCCGGTGATGGAATCGAAGTTGGTGAAAGTTGCAGCGAAGATGATGAACATTGCGGGGAATTCATCATTGAATTGGTAAGATTTTCAGTCTATCATGACATATCGGTCGGAATAATATTGTTTATATATAATGAATTTAGAGTTGGGTCTAAGCCAAGGATATTCCACCGAAAGTTAATACACACCCTTTGACGAAGACCAATGGTTCTCAAACGATGGGACGTAGATAATTGTTTAAGAGGGCGTGAAGATAATTAAAAATAAAAATAGTTGTTAGATTTGATCTTGCCCGCCTTATTGTTTTTTAAAACTTACGTTACTTATTTACGTTCTATCCCCGTCTGTTCAACGTGTTTTTTGAATAAAACACACTTTCACCTTATTATCTGTTATTTGTAGCTTATTGTTAGTTAGGTATTTTTAGGGCGGGCGTGAGACTTGACAAATTCTAAAAAGGCGGCGTGGCTTAAAATATTTGAGAACCACTAATGTAGACAGTCTGTTGGTTAGTTTTGAATATAAAAAAAAATTAGCATTCGTTTAATCATACAGCTGGATTCCCATCTATTATGCGATTCTACATCGAAACCATTCCTTCCTTCCTTTTCGCCATTGAATCTTTATAAATATTAACCGAAGCTTAAATGTGAAATAGGTTGCGTAAATAATTAGCCAATGAATAGAGGAGAGAATTAATCAGACGTATGGTACTGTGTTTCCCCAAAAATAAGACAGAGTCCTATTTTCATTTGAAGAATAATACTAGGTCTTATTTTAGAGGGATTTCTTTTATATTCAGGGTAGAGAATTACGATACAAAATATGAAAACCGATATCCATTACCTTATAAATGACACGTTTTTATCAAGTCATTGAACCTTTTCCCCTCTCACACGTTTTAGATTAATCATTTAAAACGTGCAGGAGAGATTTCCTGCTATCGACTAGGTCAAAGAAAAATTCGCGCTACTGACTGGGTCTTATTATAGGGGGAAGTTCTTTTATTAAAATCCTTTTTAAAATTCCGGCTAGTTCTTATTTTCTGGGAAACACGGTAGTTCATTCAACTATTGGTCGGATACAAACATTACAGGGGACAATTTATGTGAGGTGATTAATACCTCACATCCCTGATATCACCTCCAAAATATGAAGCTATGAAATGCTAACCGCTTCATAATCTTATCTTTTTCAACAAGCTCAGTAATTCATTGAAATTTAATTTGTCTATCTTTTTTGTTTTTACAGTCGGACCTTGAGGGTAAGTGCGAACGTATGTTGGACTATCAGAATTTTGATTGTGATAAAAGAAGATGAAATTTGTTTACAGAGACTCAAAAAAAATTTACCTAACGTTCTGTTAAAGAGTCTTGCGTACTCTTAAGTCTTTGTTATCGAAAATTGGTTTTCTCGAAGATGGAGCTGGAATAAAAACTGTTTACAACCCGAAGTCGAGTACCGGAGTCAATATTTTAATAAATCCGTAGTCTGGATTTGTAAATTCGGTTGAAATTTCAAGATGATTTGATTGCGTCTTAATTAAGTGGCCAACTCATTTTGAACATTTGTGCTGTGTTGTAGGTAAGGTTGTTGCCGAAATGCCCGACTTGGCGGCATATTCAGCTCAGTCATAACTCACGAACTGAGGAAGTTACTTAGTGTACTTTCAGCATGTATGTAAAGAATAGTTGGGTAGTATCATGTTATAGCCAGGGATAGGCAAGGTTTTTGAACCAAGGGCAAAAAATTTTGTCTACTTAGACTGGCGGGCCATATGAATGTGGCGTAAAAAGTTCCATTTTATGAACAATATTTGCAGTGTTACAAAAGCAAAAGTGGAAAACAATAAGCATCGTCCCGAAACTACCCTTAATCGCAATCCCAGCAAATTTCTTGATCTATTTTTCAGCTAAAATATTGAAATTTGGTTTTAGTTTAGTTGTGAAATCAACAAGTGGGCCAGAGTAAATTATCTAACGGGCAGGATTTGGCCCGCGGGCTGTAATTGCCCCCACCCCCCTCGATATTATAACTTATCTTAACCTCGCTTAAGAAACACAGAATTAAATACAACAGACCAGAAATTTGTGGTGCGGCAATATCCAGATGGTATTGTCAGTTGATAACATATGGTCTCTATCACATTTATAACAGTGAATAACAATTTTAGGTGAGGGTGAGTCCAAATGAAGAATCTCCTCCGCGGGAGGGGGGGGGGTATTCTTCGGTTACCCGCCAAAGCATTTAATATACAACGCGGAAACATTTGAATTCTGTGTCATTGGGAACACCCGAACGTCTATCGAAGTATTTGTTTATGGTGTAACGGTAACCTGATTCAAACGGAAAGCGTGGATGTGCGACTCATAACAATAAACAGTATGATTCTGATTTCGGGCCATTTAAAAAATGAAAATTACTGCATGCAGATTATTCATTTGCTAATATACACAATACTCGAATGCGAATGCTTTTTGTGGCTAAAAGCTCGACCGGAGAAACCGATTTTTTGAAATATCACTTTTTCTGGAAAACAATCTTGCACATTAATCCTCTACTGATGAAAGTTAACCCTTTGCTTGACAATATGTAGAAAATCATGATGCATTACAAGTTTTTGGACATAGATAGATATTGGTTATTGACCTATAATTTGCCGATATATCGGTATCGGTGCCAAAAATGATATAAACCGAGCTTTATTAAAAACTCAGAAATTACAGCAATAAAGTCTACTTTTTTGTTTATTACTGGTTTGTGACTTCGCTCAGAACAAGGCTCTATTTTGAAAGAAGCAATTTGTATGGATAAACATCTATTTTTTTAGATAAACCGAATGAGTTTTATTGTACATGGTCTAGCACTCTAGCCCATTTTCTATTCTTATTTAAAGATATAGATCTGACATGAGCTAACTAGGCCCGCTGGCCTAATCTAACCCGTTGGGTACCTCAATCTGGCCCGCCTGATGCTGCCACAATCAAACAAAAACCAAGTTTTGACGTTTTCGGTAAAAATTAGCTCAAGGAATTTGTTGAGATTGCGATTAAATTTAGTTTCCTCTTTTGCTTCTGTAACACTGTCAATATTGTTCATGAAATGTAACTTTTCACGTCACACTTACATGGCCCGCCAGTCTAAGTGGGCAAATTTTTTGGCCCCTTGTCCAAACACTCTGCCCACCCCTGGTATAGATAACTGTTAAAATATATCATATGTTACGTAAAACGCTATTATAATTAGCCAGAGCTCGACCTCCGTTTTTTTTAGATGGATTCAAAAATAAGCCTGAGATATTGGAATTTATCGGGAAGCATCTACCAGAACATAATGGCGGAGTGGCTACAGTGTCTACGGCAGTAACCCCTATCGGAGGATTCACTGAGAATAATGAAGACGGCGCCTTCACAGAACCTATGACCACCGAAAAGTCGGAATGCGTAATAGATATATCACCTCCCACTGGAAATTCTTCTACTGGACTTCGGTTTCCTAAACCAAGTAAGCGAAGCAAATAATATTTAAATTGGAGTTAGGTAGAGCCATTGTATGTATAGATAGGTACTCCTGATTTATGTGTACCAAGATGGCGGACACCAGAACGTAGTATGTGTACCAGGTAAGGTTTATGCCGTAATTCCATTTCAACTTTCCTTAGTTTAGTCGGAGTCGGAATCTTCTTGTTTTTACCCAAATACTACTCGAATACACAAGCATATTAGACTCGGGGTGAGGTGAATGACTTTTTGGTTTAATTTTGAAATCTTTGAAATGTGACATAATCCCAGCACATTACTTAATGATTTAGTATTCATCTCCACCTCAAAAAGAAGCTTCGCATCTCATACGCGTACGTGTTCTTGAATACAATTTAATTTAAGGTTAAATTATCCCTGTCTAATATGCATAAAATATTTCGGCGCTGCCGTAGAATGTGAACCAAGATGGCGGACATCGCGACGTAGTATGTGTACTAGGTTAGGGTTAAGTCATACTTTTATTCCAATTTTCCTTATTTTTCGAGTTCGGGTTCTAGCCAAGTGACTCCCGTAGTATTTGTACCTGAAATTATGGCCTAACCTGGTAATTAGACTACGTTCCGGTGTCCGCCATCTTAGTTCACATACTTCGGGAAGTACCTAGAATATTTCCTATTTGAAGTTTTTGAAGATTCGTTTCGATCAATATCTCACATAAAATTATAAAAGAAAATCAAAGAAAAACCCACAAACGACTTTAGCTTTACAGCACGCGTCGTAGTCGGATATGAATTTTTCTCAAATCGAAGCCGAGGCTAGGGGGGTTGGAGACGGAGTCAATTTTTGTCGCTCCGGAAGTATGTGTACTAATATGAATGTAACTAATTTTATTTGCCTACTTTACATCAAGTTGTGTGAGGAGACTGAAACCGATGGGCAGGGGTTATATTCACTTGGCTGATACAGACAGTTCCCGAACTCGTAATAGAACTAAAATAAAGAAAAATCGGAATAAAATTATGTCGTAACCCTAACCTGATACACATACTACGGGAGCATCCTATTTTTTTCAGTGGCTCGTAGTCGGATAAAATTTTCCACGACTGCGCAACCCTGTACCGCACGAAAATAATCTAGTCGATGTTGAAAAAATTAGTATATTTGAACAGGAAGTGTACATATGGACAGTTTTGCTCAAGTTTTACTATTGCGTCATTTATTTATTTATTATTATTTTATTTGGGGGTTGGGGACCACTCGATCAAAATTTAACAGTACCCAAAAACGGTTGTAGCCAATAGTAGTCTAATTTTCAGTCATATGGTCATATATTTCACCCAAAATTTTTCACCAATTCACGCAACCTTTATTTATAATTTATAAGAACACTTAACCCCGACACGGATGTCCGCCGACATTTTTATCAAATCTGTCCTCAGCTCATGCAGTCGATGCGCCATTTTGGACATTCAGACATTGCCCTTATGTCCTCTCATGTAGTTGTTGTTTATTTGCAAGTTCATCCGCCAGTTTATTTTTTCAGAACAATGCGGGAATTGCGATGTAAACATGTTTAAAACGCACATTCACAATGACTACGATCACAAAAATCACATAATAGAAGAATATACCTACGGAATTGTAATCCAAATGAATATATTAGAAATCGAAAACGTTACTGTATACTGTGCTGGTGAATTGTCGTTTGGAGACGATAAACCTTATATTGTAAGTGTATAATATTGGTTGTAATAGGGTATTGTGTACTGAACTGCAAGTCTTTTCTATTTTTCTACTTTCTATTGCGGATCCGTATGTGTCACGAGGATGCTTGAACGAGATAAGATAATAAAGATAAATAACTATTCGCTATTTGATTAAGCCATATCTTGTTTTTATCTGAAGAAGTTATACTATTATTTATCGAAAGCTCATAAATATACTTTCTATTTCGTGGAGGCAGAATATGTTTTTCCTATATAATATTGTTGACTGGTATTTATACTAATAAACAATTGAAGTCATCCACTGCACCTTCATTGGTTGGTGCGCTGGTGAAAGCGTTTTGTCAGCGATCGAACATATATATATGTATACGACATAATTATATTAATTTTAAGTAATGTCGATGTTTTTTCTGACTTTGAATAGATATGAAACTTGATACGAACAACTGGAGATAACATAATGATTTGTATTCATTGCCAAATTGGTGGTTCGTGCAAAAAGTTTGCTTGTCGAGTTTTTCAATCTTTGCAATATGAGAAAATTGTTACTTTTTGACACTTGGGCGCCCCCTGCGGATGAGGTAATAATTGTTCGGCAATCCTTTTGCACGTATTCATTGTCAATGGGAACGAACTGGTAAACACAGCCAGACCAGCGTAATCCTCTATTCTTCACAGTACTTTTGAGCTGGTAATTTTTGTTGAGATTATACTTGTAATATTTTAGGTGATACAACGTCGGGTTGACAATACCGTGAATTTCGACAGAAGTTTGGATGAATATGTAGCTGGATTCGGCGATATGGTAGAAGGAAATTTCTGGCTAGGTATGCAGTTTGAAGACGATAAATCACAATATATTTTGCTTTTGAAGCCTACCGTGATAACCCGAAAATAAGACAGGGTCTTATCTCTCTTTTTTTCCGAAAAATAACACTAGGGCTTATTTCGAACGATTTCCGATACGATATTTACCAATACACAAAATATGAAAACCAATGTTTATTTACTAATAAATAAAACGTTTTCGTTGAAAAAAACTGCTAAACATAGATTATTCAAAAATAACCATATAATCATGGAACACTGGAATGTCTTGCAAGTCAGCAAATGCATAAATTTCAATGAAGATTTTCGACTAGATCTTATTTTAAAGGGAGAGTTTATATCAAAATCACTTTCAAAAATCAGGCTAGGTCTTATTTGCAGGGAATCACGGTATACACAGGTCACTGTCATATAGTATGTTACTATATAATATACTTTATAAAAGATTTATGACACTCTTTATAAAGTGGGAGTTCTGAGATTTGTATCTGAGGTATTTACTATACGCCAACATGGCTGAGTCCGACATGCCAACAACCAAGTTCCCAGAAAGGAACATTCGAGACGTGAATATGTGAAATTTCATCCTTTTTTCTTCAAGTGCAACAGAAAATTCACCAAAAAAATGCACCCTCTCTAGGTTCATGAAGCGCCTTAGAACCTTGAAATTTTTTTAATTTAGGAAATATTGTTTGTCTAACTTTGTTGAAATGCAACAGCCATTTAATTCACAACTTTCGTTGTCTCTGTTTCACTGCAGGTCTTGAAACCATCCATGATCTGACGTATTTTGGAAAATACCGGACTCTCGAGATTGTTTTGATCGACAAAGACAGATCTACGGATGATGACATTATTAAGATTAAATTTATGTGAGTAAACATAGTGCTAGTTTTCAGTGATAAGAGGTGATCGATTCTTAATTCAAATCTGAGGGTGAAACTGAGCAAAATTCCTCCACTAACTGCTTCTAAAAGTAATACGAGACTAAAATCACTAATCTTTATTTCTAGTCTTTCTAGCTTAGTCTAGTCTTTTCTAGCTTTGGGTGTTGCGGCTCGATAATCCGCTTCGTTTCCCCACAGTTTTCCTTCCCAGCAAAACCATGTGATATTTTCTGTTTTGTGTACGATTTACTTATAAGATGTATATATATTTACAAGAGTAATCAATCCATCAGTGGTTTGTGTCCGTTACCCAAAGCTATGGAACTACCCAAAGCGCCTTGGTATATTCTTTAAACCCTTACTCACTTGTTCTAACAGTGACCAAAATATGATTTTTCAACTTTTATTTACGTACTATATTTCGTTAGAACCATGGCTGTTTCTGCGCAATAACTTGACTTAGTTCCACCCGGCTTCCCTTCCTTGCAGTAAAACCATGCGCTTGTATTTTTGTGTAATTTATGTAGGATTGATTTTTACGGGCTGATAAAAAACTTCACTTCACCAGATAAGAAAAATGACTCACTGACTCTAACCGGTTATCTGGATTAGAACATAGGTTATTAACGTGCTACATATGCGGCCTCAGGGCTACGTGAGAGAAACCTAGGCGCTCCGTGTACTACAGCGTTATTATAATTTATCCGTGCGAGTTAGATTCATTTAAATACCAGTCAACCTCATCACGGGATCCATACCCCCAATAGTTCGAGATCCCCTGATCTATGGCTACCGAAATGGATTCGGAGTCTGCGAGTAAAAATGGAATTTTAGTGTCTTGATAAATACGAACCGAACTGGTATTTCAATAAACTTGAAGACGGAGTCAAAATTTATATCACTCGAATTCGTAAAATGAACTTTCCTTCATAGAAACACAACATATATTTTTTTCAATACCAGAACAAGGTGCTGAAGCTTATAAAAAAAAAAATACAAACGAGGCATGTGGATTGTTTCTAAATGGTATATAATTGAGAGTCAAATAAAACCGACATTATCGTGGTCCATTCTATGATTGAGCCAAATTATTCACTTCAATATCTTTTGATTAAAAATGATTGAATAGGATTCACATATTTATTACCCGGGAGAGGAAAGTCGATAAAATATCTTATTTTTTTGTTTAAATTTTTCTGCGATCTCTGAAACCTCGAACTCGGACCGAACTTATGCTCTTTGGTTTACAAAAATTGCACCAATTATTGGATTGGATTGGATTGGATTGGATTGGATTTACATATTTATCCCGTTGAAGAGGAAACCCGACAATACGGCTTAATCATATGAGGAACCACGCCTCTCGTTCGGTTACTAGTCCAGGCCGGGTATGGGATTAGTTAACCCGTTATTTGTTTTGCACGACTTGAAAATACCTATTTTATACTATCTTATATTTTCTATATTATCTTACAGGAACGCGACTGTGGGAAGCAATTCTAGTTCATACCGATTCAATAGTGGTTCAGTCAAACCCGAATCTGAGTCCGAATCCGAACTGGCAGAGTATTTCAGTAACATGAAGAATATGTCTTTCAGTGTTAGAAATGTCACAGTAAATGGTTGTCCTGAGAGCTCTGGCTGGTGGTTCAACATGGATGGAAAAAATAAAACCAAAGTCAGTAGCTTGAATGGGCCTTACAATGGATATTCCGGATTAAAAGTAAAGACAGATAGTGAAAATTGGAATTTCGAAAAAATAGAAATGAGACTCTATCTACAGTGAATTTGATGTTTACTATATCTCATCGGGAACAAACTAAATAAAAGACCAGTTTTGTTGAATTGTCCTAGTTCATGCTGTTTTCGCAACAACGAATTTTTGCTTCCCAACTACTGTACTTTATGCTTGTATAACATACCATATTTATGGACATTCTCAATAGCCCATTTCTTTTCTATTTTACTTTCTTTGGAATCCATGAGACTATAATGCTTAACCAAACTTGTGTTTTTTGGTTTACAAAAATTGTACCAATTGTTGGTTTGACACGAAGCGATTATTCTGAATGTATCCGTCGCTCTCTTGTTAATGGTGTATTGTAATTTTCTACGTTCAATATTAATTTTCCTGTTAATGGTATTGAAACTTTTATATATGCCGTACTTTGCAACTTATACTAAAATCCAACCAAGAAGCGGAGTTTCCATTAACCTTTTTTTTAAAAGCACTAGATGGCAGGGTACAGCTGCAAACTTTCCACTTTTCAGTCTGATCACTTTTTTTCAAAGTTACAACATGAATGCAGATAATAAGTATTCAATTTTTCATTCGCATTTTGGGTGACTATTGAGCGACGAAACTTCACGCTATTTCAAGGGTAATATAGCTTTGAGTTTTGTCTGCTTTTTTTTCTTTTTGTCTGTAAATTCACTCAATTTCCTCAGCTTTGTTCAAGTACAATAATACGCTTACTGTCCATGGTGATTTGCAGCTCTTCTATCTGGACTAATTTCTATTTCTGGTTGAGGGATCCAAACTGTTTTGAGTGAAGTTAAAGGTATTAATTCGTAAACATTGAATTTGATTCATTTTTCCTATTATTTTTCATGTATTCCATGTAAAAAGGGTCGTATCCAGGAGGAAGGTCTAGAAAATATTCAATGTAAAAAAAATGTTTTGTACCTTAAATTTTTTCGTACAAATTTGGAACGCTTTTTTTAGACCCACAAGACTTGAAAATCCACGTTTCCCGGCCTCCGACCCGCTAGCTGTTACGATCTGACTTGACAATTAGATATTTCGGAATCCTAAAGCTTAAAGTTACAAAGTTATTTGTAGTATAAGGTACAGAGATGCTGTTACGTATAAGCTTCAATCGCTATCTAAATGCCGGCATCTCATAGAAGGCGAATCAGTCCCAATATATATATCCCTTAGCGGTAATGGTTACTTGCAACCCTTCTACCAGGATTATTTTCAATTTCTGGTTTATATTAGTATGGGAGATAATTTTATGATTGAGTTCTAGTGACGATCCAATTTATTACGCATATTTTTTTATTATAATTTGTGCTCATTTTATATCTTATTTTTAGCTAGGTTTGAAAATCAAGTTGACTCAATGTCGAATTTCTATTTCGAGTTGAATTGAGGGGAACTCTTTGCTATTTTACAAGATTTTACGGAATTTGTTATCTATCGCTTTTCTTTATTGCTTCGTCCAAGTTTATATCATTCTACCAATTCTGAGATATTTCAAAAAAGTACGTGTACAATTTAAATATAAAGATCATCCAAATCACAAACTACCCAATCGCATAATGAAAAACTAACGTATGTTTGCAAGAGCGACTTTACAGGCGAATATGGGTTTTTAACCATGTTTACACCACTTTAACAAGCTGTCTTCTACATAAAGCAGCGAGCAGACGTTTTTCATTTGCAGTTGCGTCGTTGTCGGCTCAATTAACCTCTTCATACATAAGATCAAAGTAAGATAATCAGCTTTCGATTGTTCTGTGGTTTTTCTATCTCTGGTTTATTTGAAAAGGAGGCCAAGTTCACTAATCGACAATGTTAGTAGGTCACATTAAAACCTCAAATTTGGGTACTCCCGTAGTATGTGTACCAGGTTAGGGTTAGGCCATAATTTTATTCGGGTTTTTCTTATTTTAGTTCTATTACGAGTTCGAGGACTGTCTGTGTTAGCCAAGTGAATATACCGCCTGTCCATAGGCTTCGGCCCTCTACACTTGATGTAAAGTAGACGAACAAAATTAATATCCTCTATATTGGTACACATACTTCTTGAAGCGCCTGAATTTGTTATTGAATTAAAGATGAAATAAATTTTAGAACCACGTTTCTTCATTACTGTTTCATATCACGACAAATGCTTTGGTACTGACATAGATGAGTCAGCTTTTAAGTTATACTTATGCTTGTTGAGGGGCGTGTAAATTGGTGCCTTCAAGAAATGCAACAAAATACCTTTCATTTTGGGGAAATTATTCTATTTCGTTGATAGTGTATCAAAATAAAAACGTATCATTTAATTTAGCATTAAGGTTATGCATATGATTGTGGGGGTGTGTAACATGTTAATTGGTGCGTTCAAGTAATGCAACAATATACTTCCAGATTGGAAAAATTCTGTTTTGTTGATAGTGTATCAAAATCAAAACTTAAAGATTGAATTATCTAATTTAATAAACAATTCTCTCGAGCTAAATAAATTTCTTCATAACAAATGTGATCCAATTATGCGATTGTAGGACAGATGGTCACTTTGACAGAAAACTTTAGTTTTTAAAGGAATGCTTGGTTTTGTACTGATCAAGATTGGTTGACATATCATTTGTGTAACTGATTTGTTTGCTATGAAACATTAGAAATCATCGTTTAAAATATGTATTTTTACCCATGTGATCGCCTTTAGGTACACAAACTGTCGGAATAAGATTTTATTCTCGATGGGGAAACACCTTAGTATTGAAAAGGACCACACTAAATCGCTCAGCGCGGCGGGTTGTGGCCCGCGGGATGCCCGTTGCACACCCCTGGCTTAAAGTATTTGCCAAACGAGAAAATGCAAGGACATATTTTTCACTAGCTCGGTGACGCGGCTGCGTAGGAAATCGGGGCATATGTAAAAAAAAAATGAATGTGAATTTGCTGGAAATCTTGTTTGTATTACTCTCAATGAATACATAGCAAATAATGAACACACAACATTCTTAGAAATATAAACAATTCCCCATCGCAAAGTATTTATATCACGCTAAACTTAATATTGCTCTCCTGGGTATCGGGTTAATTTATTAAATTATCTCCCAATTATCTCGGATTAAATGAAGTTATCTCTCCATAACAAATGTAATCCAATTATGCGATACTTTATATCGGTGGCAGATGGAAATTTTATTGGTTAACCCTTTGCATGCTGAGCACGAAAAACACAAATGATGAATTCCTAAAAACAATTTGAAAAGTATAAATTTAAAAGTATCTATACGATCTTACTAACACCTTTTACACCAGCTCGGCATCATCTACGCAACCAAACTTATCACACTCTGGATGAGAGATTTGAAGCCGAGAGGTGTAATCTGTGATGACAAAACAGTTAAGTCAACGCTTTAACCGCTTGGCCACCGTGTCACCCAAAGTACATAATTAGAAAACTTAATTTTCATGCATAAATACCTCATTTATTATACTTTTACGTTAAATTGATTGTTAAGTTCTAAAACGATAGGAAAGTATTTAATTGTACAACAAAACTTTTTCCCGAATTTAGGTCTCTACTTTAAGTCTGAATCCATTAAAATACACACCCTGTGAAAGTGGTGCAGTTTAAAAATGTATTAATCTGAATAAATATGATTGAACCCCAAATATTCGACTATTCAGCCCTATTTCACGTTTTTATCTCCGACCAAGGCCTCGTACTAAGAGCTACTGATATCTGACGAAATATTGGAATCTGCTATCATCAATTCACTACATCAAATCGCGTCACCATTTTTCAACCGTTTGATGTTTGTCAATACAGACTAATTTTAATACCAATGACGTAATGTGGCGAGAATAATACATTTTATAAGTTCAAGGGAAGGTTCAATTGTCTTCATAAATGCACGCCAGCGTGAATTTGACTGATATATTCTGTCAGAATAAATTAGACTGAATAATTTCTACGCCATTCAATAAAGTTATCAAATACTACTTGAAATTACGGCAATACCGTAAACATGAATAGATGTGTCGATCTTGAGTCAATAAGAGAGTCTAGGAGACTCGTTATCGTGGGCCGTATTTGCCCGTTTCATAAGGGATTAGTCGAGTTTAACTAAGTGTTCTAACGGGCCAATGATATCTCTTAGTTTACATTAGCTTTCTGAATAATTTGAAGGTGTTCCCGTAGTTTGTGAAGCAAGATAGCGGACACTGGAACGTAGTATGTGTACCAGGTTTGGGTTAAGCAATAATTTTATCCCAATTTCCTTATTTTAGTTCTATTGCGTCTACGAGTTCGAAGACTAGCCAAGTGACTCCCGTAGTATTTGTACCTGGTACACATAATACGTCCTGGTGTCCGCCATCTTGATTCACGTACTTCGGGATTCGGGATTCACGTACCGATATTTTTTGCTTAGATTAGCTTTCTGAACAATTTGAATACATCCTGGGTGAGGTATGAAGCTGAGACCCGAGCTGTAATCCGTGCCATCTTGTTTCATTTATGATCAAGTTTGAAGAAGTAAATCCAACCAATTGGAATCATTGAAAAATTGCATGGTTGATTTATGTATCGTGTACTTTACCACTCTTCGTATTTGTATTAGTTTAACTGCATCTACAGCCTGCAGATATACCATAGAAAACGATTTTATTTCGTGCTGCCAATGGTCTTGATAAAAATTTATCACATCTTCCCTATTTCATAACTGGGTTTTTAACCGTTCAATACCAAAAATTGCATGTAAATTTAACTTCATTTTTCAGTATAATTTCATTCTATATATGATTTTAAAATGGGACAGGCTTTATTTATACTTAGTATCAATGTTCAAGCTTGTACGTACAAAAACCCGTACATATTTGTAAGAATGAATAATATTGAAAGAGATCTATTAAATAGAGAAGATGACAATAGTCAAGTCGTAAGTAAATATTATGCTAGACCAATTTGCGGTGTTTGAACGAGTTTTTTGAGCGATGGATTTTCCGAATTTATGCTGTTGCAGGCAAATATTCGACAAAAATTGGGGAATAGCCAG